CCCCTCCTCAGCTACATCCATGGATCTGTGGAAAGCTCCTGCCTCCCTGTAACGATATTCTGACCCTCAGAGCACCACAGCTACAAACCACTGCTATTCCAGAGCTCTTCACAGGCACCAAGGGAATCCCAGTGGACCTAGTGGCACCATGGTGGCACTTGCAAGAAGGCAGAAACACCCTCTGGCAGGAGGATTTCCCCTTGCACGAGGCTGAAATGCTGCAATTGTATCATCTACAGGTCTCAGGGGAGCTTCTCACTCTCTGCTTTCTACACGAGTGTTTCTCACAGCACCACTGATGGTCCCTCCTGCACTTTGAACACGTTGTTCTGCTCCAACTTCTTTGCAGGATCTGAGTCAGCCTTGGAGGAACCAAAGATTTCCAAGACCTGCACCAGCTGTCCTAACACGGACACCTCTCAGTGGTTTCCTTACCAAAGCTCCTCAGGGTGCCAAAACTCTGCCAACACGACTCCTCCGGGACTCCTGCCCCTCTAATCTGCCCCTGTTGCCAAAATGGAGAGGAGCATTAATGCCAACAATGTGGAATTTTCATCCCTGGAGCCGTGCTGCGGGTTGGGAGGCAGGTTGTGAGTGGCAGCAGCACGTCAAGCCAGAGAACTTCGCTTTAGTAATTCACAGGGTGGGAAAATGCTGAACTAAGGACCGAGGAGGACACTCAAGGTCTCCCATGGAAGCTGTGGATGGAAAACACAGCACTGAGGTTGGTGGGATGGGGATTTGGATTATACTTCAGCTGGAAAAGCGTGGATTGGCGTGGGAACAGTTCCGTGGGGTTATGAAGTGTGGGAGCTCACACCGACGCCAGGCTGGGCTGTGCAGGGTTAATTCTGCAGTGAAGGGGTAACAGGGGGGATACAGAGCAGGCCAAGCCAGAAACACGGAAGAGTATCCAGCAGATGTGTATCCAATCAAATGGACAGTTCCCCCTCAAAACCTCAAGGCACTTCAACAACTCTACACCCTTTGCAAAGTTGTCTGGCAGCTTTGCAAGAAGCAAAATCAAACTTTCTGTGGCTTAAGAAAAAGGAAAAAATCTTGGCCAGGGGGAAAAAATATCAGTTTTTGGTATTTGCTGTGGGATCCTTAATGTTAGAGCAGGAAAGGTACAACCTTTTACTTCAGAGGCTTATTTGAAAACCCGATGTAAGAAATAACTTCCATGAGTTGCTCCTGAGAAACGTCCCTGTCCCTTTGGGAATGAGCTGACCCTGCTACCAATGTCAACTTGTGCCACTGGGAAATAGGAGTGTTAAAAGTCAAGAGACAATGATTTTAGTGATGTTGAAAGCTCCTCTCCTACAGGTTACTTCAGATATGACTTTAGAGGAGGCCACGGAGCTGTTCCAAGGGCTGGAACTCCTCTGCTCTGGAGCCAGGCTGGGAGAGCTGGGGGGGTTCCCCTGGAGA